CCTTGGAATCTGCACTGCTGTCACTTTGGATCTTTGGCCTACCAGAATTCAGCCCAGGATTGGCTCTCCTGCCCTGCTGTCCTCCAAGCCCTGGGGTGTATCGTTCTTTCTCCTCCTGCCAACAGGGAAGGTGTGACACTCCCACTTCAGCCTGACTTTAGAAGACACTGGACCTGGTTCCTTCACGTCCTAGCCCCAAGACCGCTGAGGAGTCTAGAGGAACCACACTACTGCAGTGACAACCTGTCCCTCTGGATAGGGAAGGAATAGACTCAGCCTTGCCTCTGCTTTGTCCCTTGAGGCCTGTAGCTGCCCAGCTCACCTGTGTCCAAGGTGCCCAGGTGCAGGGGCAGGGGTGTGGCTGCGGTGCCTCGTTTTGAAATAAAGTAGCCAGCTGCTTCACCTGCTTCCCTCCTTTCCACCTTCGCTGCTCCTTGTCCTGTTTGTCTTGCCAGTGATACTTTGACCGGGGCAGAGACAAGCTACTCATTCTCATTCTCTCTCCCTCTCTCTCTGTTTCTCTCTCTCTGAACTTTTCCTTTTAGACAGTTTTAGATATACAGAATTATTTCCAAGATATTACAGAGAATTCCCATAATACCCCATACCCAGTTTCCTCTATTATTACCACCTTAATGTTAGTATGGTAGCTTTGTCACACTAAAAGAACCAGTATTGACATATTATTATTAACTGAACTCCATACTTTACTTAGATTTATTCAGTTTTCCCCTGATGTCTTTTCTCTGTTCCAGGATCCCAAATTACATTTAGTCGTGTCTCTAGGCTGCTATTGGCTGTGGCCATGTCTCAGACTTTCCTTGTGTTTTATGACCTTGGCAGCTTTGAGGAGTATGGCTCAGGCATGTGGTAGGGTGCCCCTCAAATGGAATTTGTCTGATGTTTTTTCATAAGTATGTGTTTTGGGAAGAAGACCACAGAGGTAAGGTGCTGTCCTCATCACATCATGTCAAAGGTTGATCTTAACCTTAGTCACCTGGCTGAGGTAGCGTTTGTCAGGTTCTTCCACTGTAAAGTTACTCTTTTTCCTTCTGCCTTTCCGTACTGTCCTCTTTGAAAGGAAGTCACTGTGCAGCCCACATTTAAGGCATGAGAAGTTATTTTCCACCTCTTTAAGAGCAGAATATACACATAGGTTTTATCTGAATTCTTCTGCATGGGAGGTTGGTCTGTTCACCCTCATTTGTTATTCAATCATTCATTTATATCAGTGTGGACTCACAGGTATTTGTTTTATGCTTTGGATTATAATCCAGTAGTACCTTATTTTGTTGCCAAGCAACTCTTGGTCATTGTAGTTTCTCTGTACTACCTTTCAGACCAGAGTTGGACAAGGAGCATGGTTGGGGTGTAAAATATCTAATTATACTAAGTTGGCAACCTTGTTTTCCTTTTCTGGAATGAAAGGAAGAGAGGAAGATTCTCCTAACTCATGGATGAAGGGGGTGTGGGTTAAAGGCCCTAGTTTGACCACCAGCCTCTCCTGCCTCTTCCTGTCTTCACAGCACTGAGTTGGCACCCTCCCATGGGCTTGGTACCTAAACCACCCCATGTCTCTGGCCTGCAGTGCCCTCTCCCACTCAACACCCTTGAGCCCTGCTCTCTAATGCTCACAGTCCTAACCAATATCCTGGTTTCTTGTGGTGTGCTTCATCGCCCCACAGGTTCTGAGCTCCAAGAAGGCAGCCTGGGCATCCACTTGCCTGGCACTGCTCCTGCCAGTAGATCTGGGATCCCTGTGGGCTCATGTGTGAGTTGAAGTAAGCTAACACTAAGGACAGTTTTTCTGCCCTCAGGAAGTTAAGGCTAAGGACAAAAGACAGAACACATGGTCTCTCTGGGGACTGAGCTGTAGCCAGAGCACCTTTAGGCCTCTGTGTGACAGGGCTACAGAGAGGCTGGGCCCACAGGCCATGACTATTGTGTGCCTCAGGAGGGAGGGGACGCCTACCTCATCTTGGGTCCTCTTGACCTTACCCGGCCTTGCCAGCTCCCAACCCTGGGAACCCAGCTGTGGGTGCTCAGCCAGGCCGTTGGCGGGGCAATTAAAACACGGAATAGGTTCCAAGAGGGTTAATCACAGCTGCATTTATAGAGGCGCCTTTCTCTGAGGATCTACAAGCCCTCGTAATGCATGATCTCATTCCACCTCTGGGATCCCCACCCTGGAATACCACCAAGAAGCTGGGGCCAGAGTGGGTGAACAGCAGGGTATGGGCTGTGCAGCAAACAACCTAGGCTGCTGCCACCCACTTGGGCAAGCGAATGAGTGTTGTGGCAGAGAACAGGAGCCCTCAGTCAATGCACATAGGAGGCCAGCCTGCTGCACCAAGTGCTCCTAAACACCAAGTCAAGACCTACCGTGTGCCAGGCCTTGCTGGGACCAGAAATCCAACTGAACATATTCACAGCCTCCTCTGGAGCCCACATCCAGCATGGCAGACTGTTGTCTACAGTACACTGGGATCAGTGCCTTACGAAGTGTGTGGATTGGGAGTGGCTGGAACTGGAGGAGTTGGGCACCTGGGGCTGCTGCAGGGATGTTCCCAGAGCAGGTGACCTTTGAGGTGGACTTTAAGGAATGAGTCAGAAGGGAATGGCAGGGAAGGGAGAGGAGCCACAATGAGAATGCTATGTGATATGAGGCCAAACCAAGGAATCAAGACTTAGTTGGAGAGGGCAGGTGTCAGAGTCAGCAGAAGTTCTCAAGCTAGGAATTAACTTTTAGTTAGGTCATTCCATTTGGGCAGTAGAGCAGAGAGGTTGTGGCCAGAGGAAGGGACACCAGATAGGAAGTTGGGCTGGTCCAGGTTAAAGTCATTGGGATGGTAATTGCAAATGTGAGAATGAGAGCTGGAACTTGTTTGTGTGAGGGGACCAGAGAGGAAGAAGTCAGAGATAACAGAGCAGGGGCTGCTGCTGAGCCAAGGAAGGGAGGAGACACAGGGGCAGAGGAGCCAGGAGGAGCCCACAGTGCTGAGGGAGACAGACCAGCGTCTGCAGCCAAGGTAGGAAGGGGCTGGGCCAACCCTGAGGGGCCAAGAGGCTCACCCACCGGCACACCAAGCTCTCGATTTAGGAGAGCTTCTGAGGCAGGGGCTGGCATCCCTCCTGCCTACCCTTCCCTGGCTTGTCAACCATACCAGCTAATTCTATTTCACGGCCTCATTCCTCCCCCTAGAGGCTCCTGGAAGCACAGCGGCTTTCTCCAAAGAGTGAAGGAGTTTGTGGCTTAAAGGTCTCTTTGGTTGGGAGTCCCTAGAGTTGCAAGGTCAAGCCCTTGGCCCTCAGGCAGGCATGTGAGCCTTTTTAGGATCTGGGGCAGGAAAGGAGGAGGAAGAGGAAAACAAGACTCACTGAAGGCAATTTCTAGAGACTACGTGTCCTACGTGGAGGCTGAGGAGAGGCTCTCACAACTGTCTTCATCCTCATGTGGCCACAATAGCTAGAGCCAAAGTGTGTCATCTGTGGAGTCAAGCCGTTTGGGGGTCCTAGTCCTAGCTCCACCCCTCACAAGCTCTGACTTTGAGTAGTTTCGATGCAGGACACAGCAAATTCCCTGAGTCGGGGAGGAAGCTCAAGCCCTACACACAGAGAGAAGTGTTCTTTGCTGAGCTCAAGAAAGAATTCAAAAGCCCACCAAAGTTACAGTCAAAAGGAAAGTTTATTAGAGAAGAGACAAAGCAGATGAGAAAACAAAACAAAACAAAAGCCCCAAGTCTCAGGGAATCCAGTTTATACATCATTCTTAGTTTCTGTGAATTATAGTTTAAAGACTTTTTTTTCCTTTTTTTTTTTTTTTGGATACGGGCATACAATGAGAAAGGATAGGTATATGTAGCAAGAAAAGGTAAGAATACATAAGGTGAAAGGTCTGTTGGCAATCCCCAGCCTTTGATCCATAGGGAATGAACAATTTGATTTTGTGTAGGGTGCAACTTAAAGATTCTTTTTCTGTTTTCCCATCAGAGTGTGCAGAAATGGTTTTTTAGCAATCCCAGCAGAAATCTTCCTTTGTTCTGCAGGTTTCCTGTGGTCTGGCTGTAGGGCTGATCAGCATATTGCAGTCTCTGGATATACCTTGATTTAGCATTTAGTTCTCTTGCCTCTTACCTACATTAGTTTTACCTTGTTAAGCCTTAAATTCGTCTTCGGTAAACAGACATAAGACCATCCATCTCAGAGGTGTTCAAGTGTGATAATTAGCCTGATCATATAATTCATTCTCAAAACCAAGTTTACTGTTTACCTGGGTGAGCCGGGAAATATGGTCACTAAGAAAAGATGGATCTAAAAGTGATTTAAATATTGTAAAGCCCTGAGCACACATGTGCAAAGCTATTGTCAGAAGAGCTCTTTCTCCTACCAGCCCTTATGTCCGGGGCTGTGGTCTGCCCTCCAGCCAACATCAGAGAGCCCGGGGGACTCTGGCTCTTCCTCCCTGTCCTGTCCATCTCTCTGACTAACTGCTTACCTCACCTCGGACCTTGCCAACCCACAGTGCTCACTCCAGAGAAGTGCGAGGAAGTAGACCCTGAGGTGCAGCGGGTAGCCTCGTCTGCGGGCCGGCTGCCCAAGTGGAAGGTATCAGCAGGGGCAAGGGCTGACCCTAGCTCTGGGCTGGGGCTTGGCCTGATACCTTCTCAGCACCAGGACCAGGACTCTGACCAGACGGTGTTTACCAGAACAGCAAAGGGCCTATTTATAGCCTCAGCTGCTCATCTCTCTAGGTCATGGGTGAGGGGGCAGGGTGGTTCCTCAGAGCAAGGGTAGTAGTCAGACTGAGGGGACTTGGCTGTGCCCAGCTACCACTGACCAGACCCCTGGGCCCCTCCGCATGGCAGAGGAGACCTTTCACTTCACCTCCTCCAAGCTCCGCTCTCTCCGCCTGCAGCAGGAGTGGCTGGAGTGGGAAGACCGGCGCCGGGCAGCAGCCCTGCAAAGCCGGAACCGAAGGTGCCCCCCAAGTTCCCGGGCCCGGCTCACCAGGCCACGCCACTCCTGCCGAGACCCAGCGGTCCACAGTGCTCTGTTCTCTGGCAACCTGCAACAGGTCCAAGCCCTGTTCCAAGATGAAGACACCGCCAACATGATTGTGGAGACTGTGAGCAACCAGCTGGCTTGGTCAGCTGAACAGGGTAGGGAGCACCAGACCGGGGCAGAAGAGGAGGAAGAGGGAAGAGGTGGGGGGTGGGGGTTGGGGAGAAGGGGAGAGCCTCAGCCCTATCCCCTCCCTCCAGACTGCAGACTAGACCATCCCTTCCCACTGCTCCCTCCTAAACAGAGATGAGGCATAGTTAGTGGTTTGTATGCCTTACCAGAATTAAAGTTATATTAACATATAAATTACATAGGAGCACAGTTATATTCTAAGCAATTTTTTCCTTGACTAGACATCCACACATACGAATATTTTTTTGTCTACAGAATGAAATCATAATCTATGTGCTATTTTATAACCTGATTTTTCATGTAACATCTTTCTATGTCAATAATCATATAAAGTTGACACGATATTTGAAATAGATGTATAAATTCTACTGTATGGGCATGCCGTGATTTATAGAATTAGTCCCCAGATAGATTGGATAAATTGGGTTCCTTTTTAAAAAATTATTTTATATAGATATATGATGAACATCTTTGTGTACTTGCCAACCAATTTCCTTAAAATCTATTCTGACAGGAGAGTTTATCCCTGTAAACCAAATACCTCTTAAGATTGACAGGAGATTGCTTCCAACCCATGAATTTTAGGGTTCAAAATCCTTGGAGAGCTTGTTCTCACAGTTACCACAGGCTCCAGGTTCCTGCTTGGCTTCAAGTGTTAGAGATGTGACCCTACCCAGGGCATCCTGGTCTTGTCCAACAGCATGTCCATCATCCCTCAAATGGAACTTGTCCTTAATTTCAATCCTAATAAGAAAATATGCTCTACCCAAGATTTAGGAAACCTTAATGCAAACCTTAACGCAAATTATAATGCAAACAACTTGCAGTTGAATATTAGGCATCTGTGCCCCTTAAACAAGTCTTTGGCCATTTCTATAACTCTATTCAACACCAGTCCCATGATCAACTCCTCTCCCCACTCTTCAATACTCCCAACTCTAATTCTCCATCTCCACATTTCCCCCCACTTCCACCCCCACCCTCCCCACTCCAGAAGTGCCCTAGAACTTCAAACTCATGGCTCCTTCAGCTCTGGTTGTTGGCTACTTCCAAGCTCAGCTCCAGGACCTCCTGTGCATAACTTCCCCCATCCCTAGTGTCAGAGCCCCAAGGGAAGCAAAAGAGCCAAGGACTCCATCAGCAGCTCAAAGACCCAGATGTTCCCTACTAGTTGCCCTTACGGCTTTTTCTCTATGACACACATACTATGTTTTTTACAGATTGACAAACTGTTCTAAAAGGCTGTTCCAATTTACACTCCAAATCAGGGTGAGTGAGCCCCTCTCCACAGGTACAGCCTGGCACAGCATTTGTGTTCAGCCAGGGGTGCTGAGGGAAGGCCAGTGTCAGCAGTTCACCTTAGCTTGCCCTGCCTGCCAGTCTCATATCCCACCCCAACATTGCTCTCCTCAGGGTTCTGGGTGCTGACCCCAAAAACCAAGCAGACGGTGCCTCTTACCATCACTGCAGCCCGAGGCTATACTGACTGTGCCCGGCACCTCATCCAGCAGGGAGCTGAGCTGGATGCTTGCGTTGGAGGCCGGACAGCCTTGCACGAGGCCTGTGCCCAGGCCCAGTCCGACTGTGTGCGCCTCCTACTGACCTTCGGCGCCAAGGCCAATGTGTTGTCTGAGGAAGGCACAACCCCCTTGCACCTCTGCACAGCCCCTGAATCCTTGCAGTAGGTGCCCAGGAGCTGAAATGGTTTGGGGAGGGTGTGTGTGTGTGTGTGTGTGTGTGTGTGTGTGTGTGTGTGTCTCCAGCTCACGTGGCCAGGAGAAGGGGAGGAGCACCTCATACACTCATGTCCTCACAACAACCTGGAACACGGGTCTCATTCTACAGATGAGAAAATCGAGGCTCAGAAAGGTTTAGTGACTTGTCTAAGGTCACATCAACTAAGCCCAGGAGGCAGAAGTGCTGTTGCTTTTGGGGAAGACCCTGTTCCAACTGCAGTCCTTTATTCCCTGTGATTACTCTGTAGCCCAATACGTGGTCATCAGGATTTCATTGGAGTTGATGGATCTGCTCCTGAGTTTCAGTGCTGCCATTCTGGCTTTTTAATTATCAAATACTGTTAGTTTAATTTTATCATTAATATGGTTCGTTGTAAGTCTTCTTTACCCTGTGGTGGTTAATAATGAATATTTGCCCCCACAGTGGTCTGGCCTATAATTTTTCCAGGAACTAGAAGACAAAAACATGTGCTTCCTAAAATCTGGTTTTTGTCGTTTGTTTGGTTTTCTTTTGAGGAAAGTGGAGTAAGTGAGTCCCCAAGTACCTTCCTTTGTTGGAGTAGATGTGGCTGGCCTGGGAGGGTGGTCTTCAAGTTTAGAAGCAGGAGGAAAATATTAGGACTTCCACTTCTTTTACTTTTTGACTCATACACTTTAATTTTCTGTGTTTCATAGTGTACACAGTAGTAGGTTTTTAATTTTTTTTGTATGCTATCGAAATGTTAGACCACTGACAAATGATTCAGAACCAGGCCTTGGGGGTCCAGTGGGATTGGGGAGTTGGGTTAGACTCTAAGAAGGACTGTCTGAGGCAGTGAGTACTAATTCTTGTGAAGCCACTAACCTGCCATGTGTCCTTGGCTATGCTGTGACCTTTCTGGTCTGAAGTTTTTCATCTGAAAACTAAAGATGCTCCTGGTGACTTCGATCGGCCTTCTAGCTTTCTGTCTGTCATGGGGCTTCTGGGAGTCTGATGATGGACGCCAGGTTGGCATCCAGGTGCGGGAGGTGGGAAGAAGGAGTGTAGGG